ATTAAGGAAAATTCTATCTCACAGCCAAAACCCCAAAACCCCAAAACCCCAAAACCCCAAAACCCCTTTATGTTTAAAAATAATTGAAAATGGAAGAAAGTCAAGAAGAACTCACAAGTCAAGGTAATTCTTAATCAGCAATCTGTAGAGAGTGAATCTCATAAGCAGAGAGGGATTTCAGAGACAGAGATTAATCAGATAAAAGAAACTTTCCAAAAGGAAATTGAATCAATCAATTTTAAATTCGAAAAACTTCAGCCAATCTTAGGCATCATTGAAGACTTAGACGGAAAGAGTTTATTCTATCAACTTCTTCAACAAGATGAGGAGAATCATGTAGGCTTGATCATGGAGAAGATTGGGCTTGATCAATAGTATTGTTATCCTTGATCAATTATAGCCATAAATAGACAAGACTTCAACAGGAAGATTTCAGAATACTGTAAAACTAAAATGGTTGATGGGAAGATTCACAAAAATGTTGATGAAGTAAATGAAGGTAAACTAGAGAGTTTAAAAATAGACATGCAAGAATTACAGAATAAAATTTACGAACTTGAAGTTCGTCTCAATGAAGATTCTGTAAGTCAATTTCTAATTTCCAGAGATCAACAAAGAACCAAATAGAGACAAGATTTGGAGAGCTTGAAGTCCATCTTTCAAGCTTAGTGTAATATTTCGTCTCAAAGTGTAGAAAGAGTTCATCTACAAAACTAGAATCAGAAGACTTCGATAGATTCAAAGACTCTATGAAGCTGCTATATCTCACAAAAGCAGACTCTTTGAAGATTTGGCATAACTTTGATCATTATTTGAAAGAGCAGGAATTTGTTCGTCAGGTCAACGAATCTGAAAATTACAAACTACAGATCAGTAAATCTCCTTAAAATTTTAGAAAACGAAATCAAGCAGATTAACGAACTTATCCAGAGTGATGTCAGGAATGAGATTCTAAGAGTATAATTGTAAAAAATAAATTTAGACTTCAAAAGAATTTGAAAACAAAATAAAAACCCAGAATAATTTCAATGACAAAACGAAGACAAAAGTTGGAAATCTTACACATAAACTCAGTGAGTTACAGCACGGATTGAGGGATCACACTGATGCACTTAAAGCAGTCAAAAAGGTATCTATATCGCTAATTTTTAGGAACTGAGAAAGAAAGATAATATCTCTGAAGTTGATAAGATAAGAGCTAAATTAAAAGACGCAGGCGTTGTCAAAGCAGCAGATCTGCTACTACTTAAGAGTACTCCTTAAACTCCCTCATTTAATATTTTACAGAGATCAGAGAAGAAACTCTCCCTCAGGTTGAAGATATCGAGCAAAGCATAAGAGGCATGAATTGACAAATTTATAACCACAAAACCATTTTGGCAAGGTAATGTTTGTTCAACCCTTAGATTTGATGAAATCCTCTGCTCCAAGGCATCAAAGATTTCATTCGAAGAAATTTTGAAACAGGGCAAACAAAATCAGACAGATCTCAAAAAATTGTTTGAATTCAAAGAGGATTCCTTGGAATCTAGGAAGAAGTTACAAACAGAAATAGAGCATCTGAATGTCACCCTGGAAGAATTTGAAAAACAGATGAGAGTTATTATATCTACTTTCCTCAGGAAGGAAGTTAACAAAGTTCAAACTGACTTAAAGAACTCTATTTTTCAAGGCAATATCACCAGGGATCAAGTCAAAGAGCTAGTCGATAGTATATTAAATCTTTGACTTTGTAGAAAAAGTTGATAAGATAGAATTCATTGCTGATATGGAACAAAAATCAAATAAGAATGACCTTTACATGCATATGCAGTCAATAGACATAATCCATAAGCAGATGAAGTCGATAATAGGTATTTTGAGCACTAAACTTCAGCACTATTTGTAGAAATGAATACTCAGAGATGTAACTCGATGACTCAGAAGGAGCTATCTGAGAAAGTTTTACTGAAGCAGAAGTCAAATCTTTTAGACTATTCAAAACAGGTCTTAAAATGGATCAACTTGTTTGACCCTCAAAATATAAACAATGAAGCCTTGTTACTCCCACAATTTGTTAAGTTCAATAAATTGATGGCTAAAACAGCTAGGAATTCTGGGAGAACTTCTCCTGCTTTATTATTCCCAGAAAACCAGCCTCAAAAAGATCCAGAATCACCATCTCTCCTCCAAAATTCTCCCTCAAGTATCACAAAATTCAGAGGTCCCAGAAAATTCAGTCTCTTATCCAAAGATCACATCAACAGCACTATAATCCACGACAGCTCCGACGCTATAAATCTCAGCAAGAACAAAGCTATCAACACCTCATTCGAGCCCATCAGCCCTATTGAAGCTAGCGCTACTTTAGACAAACGAATGGCTACAAGGTACACTCACAGAAGGACTCAGAGTAAAAACCAGCCTCTTAACCGTTTCCTTGCCAAGAAGTTTTCAAAGGCCCTCAAAAGGCACCAGGCCAATCAGTTCTATACCAGGACTTTTAGTATAAATAAGCAGTTGTAATCTTGATTGGGGATGAACCACAGAGGGGTTTTGGGGTTTTGGGGTTTTGGGGG